AATCATTTGTTCAGAAAGCAGAGCTTCAAACCCTACCCCCAACCTCCTGAATCAGAGTTCCAGTCTAACAAGATCCTCAGGCAGCCTGCATCACATTGTGTTATACACACACAGTATTCATAAACAATGTTTTGCATTCCCTCAACGGTATGAAAATATTACAGGTGCGATCATTCTACACAGACCACTCAATGAGCTGTTTTCTTAGAGAGATGAGGCTAACAAAGATCCAGAATATTCTCTTTCAATTCCTTAAAGAAGATAGACATTTTGGTGACTGATGGTGAAATCTGTCATTGAACCGATATGTTGGTGGCATTGATGGTGCAGTCAGATTCGAATCCTGTCTCCTTAACTAAAGTAAGATGCAATCATCTACTTCCTTGAAGCATCATGGTCACAGAAGAGTGTAGTTCCCAAAGAAAGAAATTACTGTTTGAAACCACGAGGGGAATTATGTGCTGACGAAAAAGTAATGAGTTTACAAAGTCCTGATATCTCAGAGTCATAGGAATGTTCAAGGCAAATCCAGGGAGCAAGTATGCTTTACATTATCAGGAAAGGCTGGGGGAATATGAAGGGAGTTTACCCCAACTTAGGTTGAAAGTTGTTTCTTGATATCTTTAAGGAAATCAGCTAATAGACATCTCGAGGTTTTTATGTTCTTTCTTTTTCTTTTTGGTTTCTTTTTTTGAGAAAGAGTTTTTCTGTATAGCTTTGGAGCCTGTCCTGGAACTCACTCTGTAAACCAGGTTGGCCTTGAACTCACAGACATCTCCGCCTGGCTCTGCCTCCCGAGTGCTGGGATTAAAGGCGTGGGCCACCATCGCCTGGCGGCATGTTGCATGTTTCAGAGGCTGTCTGCTGACCTAGAGCTTTCTTTGTGAATATAGCATCTAGTTTGTTGTGAGTTCTGTTAGCCAAAGATTAGAGGACGTGTGATGTGGTAGAGATGCACCAGCTAAAACAACTCCTAGAACTTAAGCTGGCCAGAAGGTCAGTATCGGGATCAAGATTTCAGACACCACAGCCTGGAAATCTGGTGCCTTTAATTACATGGTGGTAAACCTTTGGTCGAATGATTGTTGATTGTGTCTTAGAAGACAAACTGTGCCCCGATAAAGACTGGAGCTGGAGAAGCACAGATAAAAACCATTCGAGTGATTGCTGTGATTACTGTTTTCAGCAAAACCTACCAAAGCCGGCATTCGGGCTGCAGCCGGCCACGTGGGAAGTGAGTGCAGGTGTAAAAGCTCAGCTCTTCCCTCCAACAGAATAAGAGAGAGTGTCTTCTGCAGCAGGCTTTCTTTGGGCCACCAGGCAGCTCTCAAATTATGACACAGAGACTTAATATTAGCTATGAATGCTCGGCCTTGGCTTGTGCTTGTCCCACTGGCTCTTAGAACTTAATTTAACCTGGTTCTCTTCATGTATGTTTTGCCTCAGGGCTTTTTACCTTTCTTTCATTCTGTGTGTCCTACTCCATGTCTGGCTGGCCCCAGGCTCCTCCCTCTCTTTCTCCCTCATTTTCTTCTCCTTTCTCTCCTCTTATCCTCTCTGCCCCTAGCTCTGCCTTTCCCTCCACTAGCTATTGGTCGTTCAGATTTTTAGTAGACCAATCAGGTGCCTTAGGCAGGCAAGGTGAAAGAAATGCAACACATCTTTACATAACTAAACAAATGCAACATAAACAAATGCAACACATCTTTACATAATTAAACAAATGCAGTATAAACAAATGTAACACATCTTTACATAGTTAAAGCAATATTCCACAACACAAACAAATGAAACACATCTTTGCCTAGTTAAAGTAATATTCTACAACGTTATTCTGAAGCTGGCCAAATATCCCAGCAGGCAAAGGAACTGACTGCCAAGACTGATTGTAGTCAGACTTCTTTTGTACTGCCAGTTCCCAAATAGCGACATGGAAACTTATTAATTATGAAAGCTTGGCCTTAGCTTAGGCTTGGTCCCAACTAGCTGTTATTACTTTAATTAACCCATTTATATTAATTTACATTCTGCCATGTGACTTGTTACCTCTCCTGCATACTGTACATCCAACTCCCTCCATGTCTCCCTGGCTTAATCCTACATGCCTCAGATTTTTCCCAAGTTCCTCTCTCTCCCTAGAAGTCCAACTTATTCTCTCCTGCCTCGCTATTGGCCATTCAGCTCTTTATTAAACCAATCAGAAGGTGCCTTAGGTAAAAACACATCTTCACAGTGTACAAAAAGATGATCTCACAACAACTGATAACCTGAATCCAATCCCTGGCACACACACAGTGGAAGGAGAGGATGAACTCCCAAAAGGTGTCCTCTGGCCTTTACACCCCCCATGGGATCACCCCTCCCCCAACAATAAATCTGTGTGTGTGTGTGTGTGTATGAGAGAGAGAGAGAGAGAGAGAGAGAGAGAGAGAGAGAGAGAGAGAGCGCCAAATATGAGTGACCATGGCCCAGGATTCAGGCTACACCAAATAACATATTCCAACGTGGCAACAGTTTCATGTGTCTTCATAGTAACATAGCAAAGAAAAGCATAAAGCAAGATACTTGAAAAATGCATTGGTGGGAACATCAGGTAGGTGGGGTCACATCAGATTGGGCGAATGTCTGTTATGGGCCTCAGATGCTGAAAATATTATTAGCCCAATTTACCTAAAGGTCACAAGGATATTAGGGTCACACATAGAGGCAGGACATGAAGGATTTAGGGGACTAATTAATAAACAAGACAATTTAGCTCTGAACCTACAACATTCCAACTCTTGACAATGGTTGCAGTCTTAATCAGTTAATCAACCTCGTAGAATGTCAGCACAGTACAGCTTCTTTTCCTGCTTCAGCTCACAGGAAGTGAGCATCACTAAGTCAGGCCTCCTTTGACTGCAGCCTCGCTCCACGCTCCTGCATCCTGAATGGAAGCAGTGTAGACAATGTCTGTGAAGTGACAGTCTACTCTCAGTGGCAGGTAAGACAGCTGCTGAGAGCTTGGAGGACTGCAGGGAGGAGGTAAAGGATCATTCCACTCAAGTCCGTTGTTTTAGATGACTTCCAAATGACCACCATCATATTAAGGGACAGGAAGGTGGTAGGCAGGTCCTAGAAGCCAATCTAGAAAATTCCAAAGTTCCAGTCTTAAATCTCTGTCTAGATAGGGTATCTAAACATGGAGAGGTTGAGAGGCAAACAAAAAAAAAATCCTCTTTGTTTTAGAGAGCCCAATGAACCCCATTTATAGCAAAAGGAGAAAAACATCAAGCTAATTCTGTAATTGGTAGAGAAGAGCTGTCATTCATTTTAGCCAGAGAACAGACATGTTTATAGATGGCAAATGATCTTGGTTTTGCCATCTCAGGATGGTCTTGCCTAATGTTGCTGTTTTATGAGGTTATTTAAGTCCCATAAGACCTTGCAGGCCAGCCATGAGCATCGGGCCAGCTTGTTGAAATCTAAGAGCCAGGCCAGCCCCAAGATGTCAATGGCTGCTTTGATCTCTCACACGGTGGTGGATCAAAGTGTTACTTTTTCAGCTCTCCCTTGCTCTGTTCACGGTCTCAACAATGCTTTCTGCTCAGTTCCTCCTTGCTCTGTCCTGTAGCACGATCTTAGAAGGTCTTATTAATAAGATCAAACCTGAAGCCAGGTTTTGGGGTGAATGCTGGAAGATCAGAGAACCAGAACAAGCCACAGCTACCTTACCCTGCCAGTTCCTCAGCTGATCCTGTTTCCTCAGACTGGAAGCCTCTGTTCTGAGTTCTTATCCAAATGAATCTCAGCTGAACTGCTTCTTGAAAGCCTGAAT